GACCCGACTCTAGGGGGCGGTGCTCATCTCCGTGTCAAAGCTGAAGACCCAGCGCTGTCCAAAGAAGTCTCCATGGTTCAGCATGACTAAACGCCGAAGGCGCATGGAATGCTGTTGCCTTCCCACCAAAGTGGTCCTTATTTTTCTACTTGCATTTTTTTACATGCTTTCGAACTGCTAGGTTGGCAGAAACTGGGACAAGTAATGGGAGCTCACTCCATTATGCGGCGCTAGGGATTCGAACCGCCAAACTGCCGACTTTTCTGATCGACAAGCTCAGCGTCTTAACCGCTGAGCCACCACATCCCTCTTATTACATTATAATGCAATAACTTTCCTTTAAGGTGTTGTCTTCCTCTGGTGCCCTTCCAGGTATTATGACGCTGTAGATGCCAAAAAGGACCGAACTAGCAAACACTCCCAGACCTTTGGGGCCAAACAGCCAATGCACGCCGGAGCCGGGCCGGGCCAGGTGGGCTGAATTAAGCTTTATAGGAGTAGGAGTTTGTACCAGTGGACAAAATATGAATCTTTCCCTTTCCTGACACTAAAAAGAGTCAGTTAAAATAATGTCCCACGGGATGGATCCAGATGTTTGGATGTCTCCCCATGCTCTCCTTTGTTGGGTGCATTACATTGCGTTGTGGTTCACCGGCAGCCGGTGCAGACAGCAGCAGTGAGGAAGAAAGGGGACCAGTCAGGGAGTCTGGAGTGGACTTGAATGAGGGCCCTGCATCCGATGCAGGGATGGGGCCAGGACCATCTGGGAGTGGGGTGCTGCCTTTGGAGCCTTCGGAGTCTGGCAGCAGTGAAGCAGAGGACCCAGGGGAGCCTGTTCCCAGTGTGTGTGTGCGCAGAGCTGCTAGAAGGCAAGAGCAGCTGAAACAGAAGGGGCGACTCAGGAGTAAGGCTAGGAGGTGATTGCCCCTCCCATAAGGGATAAAAGTCAGACCTCAATGACAAAACCTTTGCAGGAAGCAAAGTAGTTCGATAGATTCAGAGTCCTCTTTGAAGCTCTGGTTGGTTTTCTGTTACTTCGGTTGGTTTCTGTTATAATTGGAGACTTCTGTTTTGGGCAGCATTCCACAGCACTGAAAGGCGTGGGCTTATCTTGGGGAACTGTTTTATAATTAGTTCTGGCTGGGAATGAAAGTAATTCCCAGCATTGCAATAAAATAGGTTTTGTTGTTAAAACAAGTTTGTGTTTAAGTACGTTTGACGAAGCCTGGGTCAGAACACATTGAAAGAGAAGAAGTCGGGGAGTGTGGGGGTGGGGGGGGAGGATCTAGTCCTGGAGCAAACATCTGGAATTTCCGCAGGACAAGAACATCTGGCTCTCCCTCATTGACATGCTCCGCAAGAAGGACCATCTGCCGGTGGTGGCCTTCACGTTCTCTCGCAATCGCTGTGACGAAAACGCCTCCATGCTGACCACCGTCGACCTGACCACCACGACGGAGAAAAGCGAGATCCATGTCTTCTTCCAGAAGTGCATCTCCCGACTGAAGGGAACCGATCGGCAGCTGCCTCAGGTGAGAGGAAAAAGAAAAGGCTACCAGGGAGGGGGGTGCGGTGGGTCACCTTGGTAGCATAGCCAGAATGGGAGTTGAGACTCGGGACTTCAGTGGTTGCCAAGAGGAAGAAGGACGGAAGTCAAGGAGCCCTTAACGGTGGAGGATCACTCTGGAGGTGCTTGACGGACCAGTAGCAGACCCCCACCTCACCCCATGCACATCCTGTTTCTTCCCTCCCCATCTTTATACCATCTTTTTTACCATACTTTTAATCATAATGCATACTACTACACTAGTATGTATATATGTATGTGTTTTATTGCTTTTGACCTTGTAATCTGCCCAGAGTCGCCCTGCAGTAAGATGGGTGGCAAATAAATTTAAATGGATAGGATAGCATGGGGGAGGGGAGAGAGAGAGAGAGAGACTGTGTGTGTGATAAGTAGGATAGATATAGACAGATAGATATAATGTAGAAGTAGATAGATAGATGGGTGGGTGAGTGGGTGGGAGGATGGGAGGGAGGGATAGTATAGGATGGGATAGGATAGATAAGGTAGGATAGATGGATAGGATAAGATAGATAAGGTAGGATAAATAAGGTAGGATAGATGGATGGATAGGAAAGGATAGGATAGATAAGGTAGGATAAATAAGGTTGGATAGATGGATGGATAGGAAAGGATAGGATAGATAAGGTAGGATACATAAGATAGGGTAGATGGAGGGATGGCATAGGATAGGATAGAATAGATAAGATGGATGGATGGAAAGGTAGGTGGGATGATGGGAAATGTAGGAAGTCTTCTCTAGCACCAGTCCTGGATTTTAGGATAAAATTAATTTTAATTAAGTTGGACGACATTGTTACTAAAAAAAACTTCACTTATGGGATTTTTTCCCCCCTCAGGTTCTTCACATGGTCGACCTTTTAAAACGTGGAATTGGAGTGCACCACAGTGGCATCCTGCCCATCCTCAAGGAGGTAGTGGAGATGCTTTTCAGCAAAGGCCTTGTCAAGGTAGGTGTAGGAGTTGACCAGGCTGAGATCGTTGAGGCAAGCGGGGGAGGGGGGTCAAACGCATCATCAGTTTGGAGTCTCTATGCCCCCCTAAGAGACTTAAGTCCAGCTCCCCCTTGAAGCCTCTTGACTCTTAATCCGGCGCCAATTTGCCTCAACCATTAGTAGATCAGGTTCTTCTATACATGTAGTCCTCGACTTGCGACCATAATTGAGCTCAAAATTTCTGTTGCTAAGCGAGATATTTTTAAGTGAATTTTGCTCCATTTTGTGACCTTTCTTGCCACAGTTGTTAAGTGAATCGCCGCAGTTGTTAAGTTAGTAACACGGTTGTTAAGTGAATCTGGCTTCCCCATGGACTTAGCTTGTCTGAAGGTTGCAAAAAACGACTCATGTGACCGTGGGTCATTGCAGTCATCATAAATATGAGTCAGTTTGACGAGTGTCTGAATTTTGATCACATGACCATGGGGATAACTGCAATGGTGGTATGTGTGATAAACGGTCATAAGTCACTCTTTTCAGTGCTATTGTAACTTCAAACTGCCATTAAACGAACTGTGGTTTAAGTCCAGGACTATCGGTTATGGGTAGCATGGAATAAACTTGTAATACTCTTGAACCCTATCCTGGCTCCTGAGAGAATGTCCCAGGGACCCAGACTTCTCCAGCCTTGTTCCTCAAATGGTTGGATCACTCCCATGTTCCCCTGGTCTGGAATGGGATAAACGGCCAACTTGCCGCAGCCAATTCACCGCTGGCAAT